TTCATTTGATTTCTGTTTATTTCAATTATGACTTCAGTCGAATTAAGGTCATTAAAAGTCGCAGTTTACATGGTAGACTCTTAATCAGAGTATTGTCTTAATTGGAGTATTGGTGTCCATGTAAACGTACTCCGTGATGCTCTTACCCAGAGAGTTCTCCTCAGCTCAGCGTCAGGCAGCTCAGTGGCAAGTTTCAGATTCTCAAAGCTGATCTTCTCTCGTGGTCTTTGGTTCCAGGCAAAAAGTACAGCCAGCTGAAAGGTTGTGACCTCCAGGTCATACTGCCCTACTTCATTCTTGAACGTGATCTACCAAAGAGCACACGGTCTGATTAGCTATTAGTTGCAAATATTTATTTACAGTAGCTACAAATCAATAAAAAGGTAGTGTATAAAATACACCCACAATGCCATTGGACATGAGGTGATGCCAGTGGAGTTTGCGGCCGCTGTGGTTTTTCTTGTAGAAGTCCTCCACCTCAGGGATGAGGTCTTCCAGCTCAGTGGGCAGAGACACGAACACTTTTTCTGAGCTGCGTGACCACGCTCCAGCATTCAAGATCTTGATGTTTACAGAGTCCGCTGGCAAGTGAAAAAGAGACCTTAGACCAGTGGTTCCCAACCTTTTTCTCTGGGGCCCCCCCACATGAACATATACAAACATTGGAGCCCCCCCACCATATAAATACACACGCACGCGCACACACACATATGTGCTGTGTGTATATATATATATGTATGTGCGTGTGTGTCTGCACTGTATTAAATTTAAAAAGCATGGAAAAACTAAAAAAAAAACAATAAAAAATTGCTAAATAAATAAAACAACTAAATATAAAATATAACATATAATATATTTTAAAATATAAAATAAAATGATATTTTTAAAACAAAAATAACAAACATAATAATAAAATATTAATAAATAAAATAAGCTACTAGACAAATGTTTTAGGACAAATCAGTTTCAAATCAGTATGTCCATTACAGGTTTCCATTATGAGTAAGTATCTGTGTTTTTTTCCTAGTGAGGTTATATTGAAACACCAGATCTATAGCAGGTTTTCTAATACTCAGGTCTGGTTGCTCATGCTTCTGGGAACTGTGCTAGTGTGAGAACCCCAGTGTTTGGGGGTAAACATGAGTAATAAGTGACCTTGTGCTTTTCTCTCTCTCTCTCTCTGTGCGTGTGTGTGTGTGTGTGTGTGTGTGTGTGTGTGTGTTTGTGCGTGAGTGTATGAATAATGATTTCTCACTGGAAAACAGCACTTAGTTAGGTGAACCCCACAGAGCAGCTCTGCAATGAGCCCACTGAGGCCAGTTACAGAGCTGCGCGAGGCAGACTATATCTGTAACATGTAAACCACCAGCTGAAAATCCACATCAGCAACTCCCGTGTGGGGAAAAAAAGTTGGTAGTTGATCTCATAGTATGTGTAAAAAATAAAAAATGACCAGTTTAAACTCTCTAAAACCAGAAATAAATAGACATATATATGGAAATGTATCTTCAACATAGAACGGTGTTTGAAAAAATAAACGCTCTAGATTGAGTTAAATGGGTCATGTGCTTGTTTATTTCAGTGAATTACACTGTGTGTAGTGTTCGCAAAGGAAATATCGAGGACAGGCATCTTTCACACACATTTAGTTTGTAAACATCTGTCATGTCGCATGTGTGTTTGTGTATTTTGGTTTGGCAAGACACAGGAAATGAATGTTTTAAATGTTTGTAAAGTTCATCTTAAATGTCTGCCCGTCAGGTGTAAACTCATTATTGTACTATATTTCATTCATTCATTCATTCATTCATTCATTTTCCTTCAGTTTAGTACATTTATTCATCAGGGCTCGCCACAGCGGAAAGAAACGCCAACTTATTTAGCATATGTTTTACAGCAGATGCTCTTCTAGCTGCAACCCAGTACTGGGAAACATCCATACACACTCAGTCACACTCATACACTACGGCCAATTTAGTTTACTCAGTTTACCTATAGCGCATGTGTTTGGACTGTGGGGGGAAAACCGGAGCACCAGGAGGAAGCCCACATAAACACGGGGAGAACATGCAAACTCCACACAGAAATGCCAACTGACCCAGCTGAGATTTGAACCAGCGACTTCCTTGCTGTGAAGTGACGGTGCTAATCACTGAGCCACTGTCACCCCTTTTTCTAACACATTTTGAACATAATAGTTATAACATTAATTTCTAATAACGATTTTTTGCATTAGCCATGGTGACAGCTAGGGATGGACAATATAGACTTTAATATTTTATATATAATTATTTTCAGCTATTTGTTGCGATAAAAAGTATTTTACACACTGAAGAAGACTGTATCAAAGTTGAGAACTGGGGGAAAAGAATGTTGACTGGGGGGGTCTCATATGATTTACGGGAGTTTTCAGAGAGAAATAATAATAATAATAATAATAATAATAATAACTCATCCTCAAAATGTTTCAAACCTGTTTAAAAAAAAAAAAAAAAAAAAAAACACACTACCTGACAAAAGTCTTGTCGTCAATCCCAGTTGTGAGCAACAAATAATAACTTGACATCTAGTTGATCATTTGGGAAAGTGGCAGAAGGTCTGATGAAACATTTTTTGAACTGCATCCTAATCAAATACTGCAGAAGACCTATTGGAACCTGCAGTTACCCGATTCTTCTAGAAATCAGTCAAGTTTGGTGAAGGAAAAATCATGGTTTGGGGTTACATTCAGTATGGGGGCGTGCGAGAGATCTGAGTGGATGGCAACATCATTACAAACCACAGGAGAAAGCATTTTCTTCAGCGCTCCTTCTCATACTTCAGCCTCCACATCAAAGTTCCTGAAAGCAAAGAAGGTCAAGGTGCTATAGGATTGGCCAGCCCAGTCACCTGAAATGAACATTATTGAGCATGTCTGGGGTAAGATGAAGGAGGAGACATTGAAGATGAATCCAAAGAATATTGATGAACTCTGGGAGTCCTGCAGGAACGCTTTCTTTGCCATTCCAGATGACTTTATTAATCAGTGATTTGAGTCATTGATGTATAGATGCAGAGATGTATGGATGCAGTCCTCCAAGCTCATGGGGGTCATACAGCAGAATGAATATCTTTTTCCACTGCACCATGACTTTATATTCTATACTGGACATTATGTCTGTTCAATGACAAGACTTTTGTCTAAGCAAAGTCAGACCTTACTGTCATAATTAAATCATTAAAATCAAGGCATGATCATATTTTATTTTGGTAAAATAGGGTTAATCTAGAGTCTTTTTCTCTTGAAGGATGTTTTTTAGGAAGTATTTTAGCAGAAATTTTGGATTAAAAGATTAGATCTGGCAAAAATAAAAAAAAGACTAATCATTTTCTTACCCTCATGTGGTTTTTAACCCACAAGACTTTTTTTTATTGGTGAACAAAAAAGAAGATTTTTTAACAATGTTGGAAACTGGAACCATTAACATCCATAGTAGAAAAAAACAAACACTATGGAAGTGAATGGTTAGCATTCTTCAAAATATCTACTTTTGTGTTCAACAGAAGAAAGAAACTCAAGTGGTTTTGTGACAAGTCAGAAGATTTTTTCTGTTGTACACAGTTCATTTTGGAGAGTTTAACTGTGCTTTTATATAGCATTAAGTTGAAAACCTGTGACATCACCTTACACAAATGTACACACACACACACACACAAATGGAGAAAGAAAGAGCTCTCACTTGTTCTCTTTAGGAAAATTGCCTCTGGGTTTCTGAACTCTGCAATCTGGAGCTTTGAGTGGTTATATATCAAGTGTCAGCGTCGACAAAACATTTCATCATTTTATCCATGCAAACAGGGTCACACAGCCAGCGTGTGCAAACTGCAAACCTGCTACAGCATACAACTCACTGACTAAACAATTAACCCAGTGCACACCGACTGGGTCTGCATTCACATATACTGTCATCGTAAGGAAAAGAGGATTAATGCAACTAATTATTGAAGCATACAGTGCTGCACGTTGTACTTTACGCAACGTTTCCTTGCGGTGAATCATGACGAGTGGAACATGAATGAGTCACCGAACTTCATAATCATTATCATAGCAAACACCCAATTCATAACAACCACGATCAGTCAGACGAGCAGTAAATCTCTGCCATAAAAACCAGCTGCTGCTCTTCGGGTCTCCGATCAACACTCATGAAGACATTTACAAACACTCTGTGTTTCTCAAACTTTCTCATGGGTCAGGAGGATGCAGCACAATCAGACATTAGAGAGGGTTTAAGTCCCACTTTGTTGTAAGCGTGGGTTTATCTGATAGAGATGCAGAAACAGAAATTAAATAATGCATTACAGTGCTGTGAAAAACAGCATATGCTGGTAACGTAGGATTTGATGCTGACTCACATGAACATGAATCAGCTAAAACCAGCAAAGAACCAGTCCAAACCAACTCATGACCAGCAAGAACAAGCGTAAACCAGCTTATGATCAGCAAGAACCAGCTGAAATCAACTCATGGCCAGCAAGAACTAGCCTAAACCAGCACATGACCAGCAAAAAAACAGCCCAAACCAGCAAGAACAAGCTTAAACCATCAATAACCAGCTTAACCCAACTCATAGCCAGCAAAAACCAGCTCATGACCAGTAAGAAAGAGTTTTAATCAGCACATGACCAGCAAAGACCCAGCCCAAACCAGCAAGCACCTATTTAACCAGCATATGACCAGCAAAGAACCAGCCTAAACCTGCAAAACCCAGCTTGAAAACAGCAAGAACTAGCTTAAACCAGCTCATGTCCAGCAAGAACCAGCTCGTGACCAGCAAGAACCAACTTAACCCAGCTAATGAACAGCAATAACCAGCTTAAACCAGCACATGATCCGAAAAGAACCAGCTCAAACCAGCAAGAACCAGCTTAAACCAGCACATGATCAGCAAAGAACCAGCGCAAACCAGCAAGAACCAGCTTAAACCAGCACATGATCAGCAAAGAACCAGCCCAAACCAGCAAGAACCAACTTAAACCAGCTCATGTATAGCAAGAATCAACCAAAACCAGCTAATGACAATCACAAATCAGCTTAAACCAGCAAGAACCAGCTTAAATCAGCTCATGACCAGCAAGAATCAACCCAAACTAGCTCATGACAATCACAAATCAGCTTAAACCAGCAAGAACAGGTTCAAACCAGCTCATGACAAGCACAAACCAGCTAAAACCAGCAAGAACCAATTTGAACCAGAACATGACCAGCAAAGACCCAGCCCAAACCAGCAAGATACAACTTAAACCAGCTCATGTCCAGCAAGAAACAGCCCAAACCAACTCATGACAAGAGTCATGCAACAGTCTGCTTTGTGTTCTGACTGGCCTTTTGTCCAGCGGGTTTTTTTTCCACTTTTACTTCAGTACATATTTTTGATGAGTTTAATACTTTTACTCTGATAGATTTTTTTTTTTGTTCTGCATCGTTACTCGTTACGAGGGGTGTCAAAATTATCGATATCAATTCAGTAATAGATGATAACCGGTTATTACGTATTGACATCATTTATCTTCTATGCGTGATGTTGCAATACTATGGCGAAGGAGGCGAGGGCGAGTAAATAACGCTTTTACAACAATAAAG